GGCGACTGCCAAGCTGCTGAACTCTGCACTCGAAGGATCTGAAACAGAAAAAGAGAATGAGATGTATTGATGATGGAGGGAAGAGAACAGAAAATGTGGGTTATATTAATTCACTCAAGACCAATTGGCTTCCACAGAGATGTGAAGGCCTGGAAAAAACTGGAAAAATTCGTGAAAACCCTTTCTCCCCCATTTATTTCCTGAAGCCTTTTTTGTTTTTTTCCGAAAAATTGGAAAAATTGAAAAAAGAAAAGAAAAAAATTGATTATGGAACTTTTTATTTTAACATGATGAATAAAATATTTTAAGACAATATTTTCCAAATCATTTCTAAAAAATACGTATGGTATCAGATTGATCTAATTTCTGTGCACTGAGGACAAGCAAGTCCTAGGGTTACAAACTGAACTCTCCAATGCAAGAACAAGATGCATTTCTTCCTTTAGGAGGTGCTATTGTCACAGGGAAAGAAAAAGGTTTCAGTTTTGTTTTTGCATGTGGATGGGTATTCTGTTTGTAATAATTGTTTGGATACACTATATTTTTAATATGCTAGTTATGATAATTTCATGCCAAGTAAAAATGTCCATAGTCATATTTTATGTTCCCAAAGTAACAGAGTTACATTCAGTCTGGAAAAGAAAAAAGAAGTGCTAATTTAGCATATTTTCCAACTTTTCTGAAAATTTCTGGGTTTTCCCGGAAAAAACCCAGAAAAAACCCGGGGTTTTTCGAAGCTTCAAAATTTCCGGAAATTTTACATCTCTAGTCTGTCTGTCTATCTCCATTGTACATTTCAAATCCCAACTAAATAAAAGTCTCTGCTAAAGGGTGACAAAGTTCGAGTGGCCTGGGGTACCAAACACCCTTGGGCTGGCCCTTCCTGTTAGACAATTGTAGCAAAACAAAACAGAAGCCCAAAGGCACCTTACAGATTAACAACCTTTACTCCAGCATGGGCTCTCCTGAGTCAGAGCTCCCTTCCTCTGATGCAATGCAAAGAAAAGAAATCATGTCCCTTCCTTTTAACACAGGATATTACAGAATTTGGTGTGAAATCACCCTTGCAATGGAGACTTAGTACAGCCTGGAATAATCTGGTTTCTCTCCATTTTTTAGCTGTGGTTTCCCTTCCACGCCTGATATACATTTTTTAATACATTAAAGCCCCCCTCTTTCTAATGTTCTCACATGACCCTCAGGATTCTCTGCTCACCCTTTTAAAATTATTTTTAGGAGCTTGAGTAACGCTGCATAGAAATAACACAATATCTTTAAAAAAAACTATTAAACCCTTATTTGTAGAGACACCTCCGATGATCTCCTCTCCCTCTCCAAAAAGCAGGCTGGGCTGCGAGTGATTCTCTTCCTAAAACAAGGAAAGAAACGAAATACTTAACACTGCACAAACACGAATAACACTGAATAGGAATAATGCAATACCTTTACAATGGGGAAAAATGTGCCTACAACAACCCCCTCTGTCAAAAAGCCAGGTGATTCCTTTGTTATCTTAATGTGTTCAGATAACTGTCATCAACACATGAAAGAGTGACTGACTAGCAGCTCTCCACCAATGCACCAGGGATCCCCAATGTGGCACCCACTGATCCCGCACTCAGAGAGTAGTTGTCAATGGCATTTCATCTGAATGGAAGGAAGGGTCCAATGGGGTGCCACAGGGTTCGGTTCTGGGCCCGGTACTTTTCAATTATGGTTATAAATGATCTGGATGAGGGAGTGGAGGGGCTACTCATTAAAGTTGCAGGGGACACCAGAAGATAGAGAATTCAACGAGATCTGAACATGCTGGTAAAGTGGGCAGATGTGAACAAGATGCTATTTAACAAGGATAAGTACTGTGTTCTACATCTGGGTAACTAGGGTTGCCAAATCGACTCACCCCTCGGAGCGGGGGAGCCTTGCCGGCGTCCGGGAGGTCGCGTGCCCCGGCAGCACGTCACCGGAAGTGATGCTGACATTGGTGGGCGTGTCTGGGCTCTTCGGGGGGGGGAAAACCATATGACCCCCCCCCCGACGAGCTCAGCCACGCCCCCAACGTCAACAACGTTGCTGCGTCACCTCTGGTGACGCAGCTTCGGGGGGCAGGGTTCCCCCCGGGCCCCGATTCCGCTGGGGCGGAAATCGGGGCCTCCGAAGGGGGGATTCCCTGCCCCCGGGCCCATTTGGCAACCCTATGGGTAACAAAAATGAGGAACACACATACTGGATGGGGGATACTCTCCTTTGTAGCAGAAGCTGTCGAGTCTTGTGAGCTGTGGAGTCTTGTGAGCAAAAATTGTACTTTATGAGCTACTGGCATTAAAGTTATGAGTGAGCAATTTGGCTGCTGCATAAATTAGTTTACTCTGGAGCCATCCTTCCTGAGCAAAGACAAAAAGGTGTGAGCTGGAGGCTAAAAAACTGAGCTAGCTCACACTAACTCAGCTTAGAGGGAGCACTGGTAGCAGTGTGTGTGAACAAGATCTTGGGGTAAGGGTAGATGGAAAGTTAAATATGAACACACAGCGTGACGCAGTGACAAAAAAGGCTAATGCAATCTTGGGCTGTATCAACAGAGGCATATCATGGAAATCACAAAATGTCATAGTCCTGCTGTACACTGCATTGGTCAGGCTGCACCTGGAGCATTGTGTGTTCTAGAGGCCTTCAAAAAGGATGTGAACAGAATGGAAGCGTGTGCAGAGGAGAGTGGCAAGAATGTTTGGGGCCTGGAGACCAAGCCCTATGAGGAAAGGCTGAGGGATTTGGGAATGTTTAGTCTGGAGAAGAGGAAGCTGAGGGGAGACATGATTGCTCTCTTGAAGTATTTGAAGGGCTGTCACTTAAGAGGAGGGCAGGGAGCTGTTCCTGTTGGCAGCAGATCGGACTCGAAATAATGGGTTTAAATTAAGGGCGGGAAGGTACTGGCTGGGTATTAGGAAAAGGTTTTTTTACAGTAAGAGTTGTGCAACAGTGGAATCAGCTGCCTAGGTAGGTGGTAGTCTTTAAGCAGCATCCAGACTAACACTTGTCAGGGATACTCTAGGCCAGGGGTGGCCCAACTGCAGTTTGGGAACCACATATGGCTCTTTCACACAGTCTAATCTAACCTTGATAAAAAGCATATTTGCATATTTTCAGTTAAAATGTGTGTGTAATATTTGTTCATGTCTTGTGCCTCTCAAACATCCAACGTTTATGCTGTGTGGCTGTTACCTTACACAGGTTTGGCCACCCCTGCTCTAGGCTGATCCTTCACTGAGCAGGGGGTTGGTCTAGATGGCCTGTATGGCCCCTTCCAGCTCCCTGATTCCATGATTCTTTTCTGGTGCTTGCCAAGTGGTTTTAAAAGGTGGGTGTGGCTTTTGCCCAACAGGGTTCCTGATCGGCCATTGGAGATCTGATTAGCTGGGCAGATTTTTTAAAAAGTTGCTGTGGCAGCTGTTTACTGTGACTGAAGGTGTATGCCAGAAAAATATTTTTAAACAAAATATCCATTTTAAACGGCATCCTGTTAAACAGAGCTAGTCTCTCCCAAGACAGGCAGTCCCTCACTTCCAAATGCTTCACAAACATAACCTTCAGAACAGTCTGACAAGGTAGGTCAGTATCATTATTCTCCTATTGGAGGTGTGGGAGGGCAAATTTGAACTTGGGACCTCTGAGATACTTATGCATGGTCTTAGGTGCTACATTGCTTCAGTTCCACAAGATGAACTTTAATAGTTTTCAGCGCTCCTTATCTTATTCCTCATAGCACCGTAGCCTTCTTGATTATCTCTGTGGGGAGCAGGCGGTGTTCCTCTCTATTTGACACTGACTGGCTGACTCTCTCACGCACGAAACAGGCAGCAGAATGAACTGCTCCTCTTCAGACAGCAGGCAGGGAATCATAGAGGGGCACAGTTTTGGAAGCCTCTCTCGAGCTCCAAACTCCCTGCAACTACAAACACAGCAGAGCACTCTTCCAAAGCATTATTATTATTAGCCCTGCAGTGGCTCCGGTCACACGGGCTAGAAAATGCGGGGGGGGGGGGGGGCCGGGCGTTTTCCCCGGAGCCAGCAAAATAACGCACGACTGCGCGATCAGGCGTCCGGTTGTGGTCCCGTGGTTAGGGGGGAGGTGCCGATCACACGAAGCGGCAAAGAAGCGGGGCGGCGCGGCAAACAGGGTTGTGTTTTGTTTTTAAAACTGAAATGTGTGCATGCTCTGTTGGGTGCTTGTGTGCATCCCAAGGAGACTTGGGGGGGGGGGGGAGAAACCTTTTTGCAAGGGGACATGGGCGGGCACCGGATGCCACCGGAAACGCGATCAGACGCCGGCCCTTGCCCCACAGTTTTTACCCCGCATCTTTGGCGGGAAGCCTCAGGAGCTCTACGCTTCCCAGATGTTGCGATGTGATCGCGCCCGGAAAATCCGCCTATCTTCCGTCTCTGCAGCGTGGCTAATGCTCCCTGTGACTGCAGCCAGTGTTAGTTTTCTGTAAGGAGCTGGAATCCACCCCCTCCCTGCAACCTGAAAGTGCGTGGTCCATCTCTACCATCTCCTGCTACAGAATATTTGAGCTAGGATTGCACTCCTGCACCTTCTGCTGAGGTTATTTTATCCAGTCCTCTATCCAACATGTTAAGGTGAAACAAAAGGAAAACATCGCACACAAAGCGGTTATTTACTCCGACTCCCACTAAGCAGGCACCCACAGACTCAACGAAAAACCGCCCCCAACAAACACGCATCTTGTGGCGCATGCGCCGTTTTCTAAGTGAGTTTTAAAAAGAACGTTTGAGTCTCGGCTTTCGTGGCACCTTTAAGACCAACAAAATTTTATTCAAGGATTTAAAAAAACATTCTTGTTCGTCAGCCAACGAGAGAAAGCACTGGGTTTTTATTGCGCATGTGCTTGCATAGATTCCTCGAAGTGCCCGGATAATGTGAGAGCTGTATGAGACGAACCTATCCGGAACTATTCCTCTATATGACCCGGAAGGGTATATGTTTGCTACGGTGGCTGTTTAGGTTTGGAGCAAGGTGGTAGTTCTTTTTCTCCCTGAAGTTTGGCTGGCGGCACTTACGCTTTGAAGCGGAAGATTCGCGGTGAGACACATTTCAAGGGCGACGGCTCATCGTTTCTCTGGTGTTTTCCTCGACACCTGGGCGCGAGGCGATTGGGATGGCCGGCCACTGCGGAGTGGGCCAGTAGTTCAGAACAGCCGGCGGGAGATCGGCAGGTGATACACGTCCCGTAGTTCAAGAAGACCGCGTGAAGTCACCTTCCCCCAGAGTAAGAGCCGCTGCAGCAGCAAGTCTCTCCGGAGAAGCTTCGAAGCTGGGGAAGAGGGCGGGCCGTGTTTCGCCCTCTGCCTAGCAGCGGAGGGACCTTTGCGTGTGCCTTGGAAGGGTGCCCCTCTACGTTAAAGGCCGTTATAGCGGCTCTAATCTTGGGCTCCCGGGCCCTCCGGGACGGGCAGTAAAGCAGTTACCTGACAAGTAAAGACTCCAGAGCTCAGTCTCCAGGTCATTTTGAGCGCGTTTCGGAGGCTGCAGTAGTATAGGTGGGGGTTTTCCTCATACCTGTGGTAAAAATAATTAAGTTTTTTCCAGCAATGCTGCCCACCAAGAGAAGTAATAGCAGCAGCCTCATTATTTGTGCAGCTCCAGCAAAAAAGGTGCCTGAGCCGCCTGTTTCTAATGACGATTCCAAAAAGCCACCCATTTTGAAAGCCTTGGAGGCAGTTGTAGCAGCTGGTAGACTCGGCTTGCTCGGTCCAACAGCAATGGCGGCTGTGGAAGCCATGCCAGACTTGGAGGTGCAGAGTTGCGATGGAAAGGTGGGCCAAGGAACCCCAAGTTCGATTCCACTTTTGGGAGAAAAGGAGGAAGAAAAGGCAGGAAAGGAGGAAGGAAGGAAGGAAAGAAAAGAAGAAGAAAAGATCGTGAACAAGGAGGGTAATACTGATGTAGCTGTCACACCACCAGTGAACGGTAAGCTGTGGATAAACTAATTTATGCAGTAGCCAAATCACTCGCTCAAAACTTTAATGCTAGTAGCTCACAAAGTAGAATTTTTTCTCACAAGACTCCACAGCTAGAGGGAGCCCTGGTGACCGGAAATACTGCTGCTCTTCTTAACGTCCTCCTCGCTTGCAGGCAAAGTTCTTGGCATTGGTTTTTAACTTATTAAAGACCCTTCTGACAGGCCTTGGCAATTTTTCTTTAGCTGTAAGAGCCAGTGCAAAAATTTAGGAGCCAGAGCTGTTTTCAGGGGCTTGTATTTTAATGGTCATATTTTGTAATTTAAGCATAATCCTAAACTCTTCACAGTTTCTTGTAAAATTTCCAAAGCCATGACTAAAGTTGTGTAAAATATAAATCAATATGGGGTCGACCTGGTTGTCTTCATCCCAATGAAAGGTTGCCCTTTAATCCTACCGTATTATTTTAAAAGCTCCATTTAATTGTGTTTTGGAGCTAGTATAGAACACAGCAGTTGAGAAATGAATTCATCTGTTGCCACTGAATGGGGTAAATTTACAAGGAAGCAGTGATAAGAACTTCATGCACATTCATTTTTATACCATACATCAACAAGTATTTCGATGTGAAATGATAAATAAATTTCATACTACTAATGAGGATCATAGACACTACAGTAAAATAATTGCTGAACATACTAGGTGCCACAATGAAGTTTCTAGGTGCCATGGTCATGTGGCAACTGGGATTTGTTGAACCGTGCCTTATGGTTTGTGATTGGTGATTTTGAAAGTGTTCCTCTTCACTTTTTTGAAATCCAGCGTTAGAAATAGAGATTTGAAGGCCCAGAAATTTTTTGGAGAAAAACACTCCCCCCCAACCCGGTATCTTTTTTTGGCACTGAAAGAAATCCTATGGTGGAATGAATGAATATATGTATGAAATGTGATAGCACAGAGTGCAGCATTTTATGCCTCTCTCACATTAGCACATGCAGAAAACTAAGGCATTTATATTTTTATATTCCATATATAAGTCACTTAATACAGTTTATATGCTAACTATGTTATAAATGATGCATTTCTAAAGTAGCAAGATAGGTTTAGCTAAATACTGCATATATTTCAGTTTCAAGGATTTGATACTTAAATGGCAGTCCAGTAGACTGTCAAACACACCCCCAGGGAAGACACCCACACTTAATGGCCTACTGCAGGGAAACTTCCTCTCTCTGGTATGCACTGCATGTTAGTAGACGTTTGCAGGCCACCACCCCTTTGTGTACTTGTACTCATTGTACACACAACCCCAAAAGTGTTGAGGAAAAAAAGCCCTTCCTTATTCTGGGGAAACAGTTCATTAGTCTAGACTTTTGGGAGAGAGCATGTCCTTCTGCCCCTATCATTGGTCAAAGACCAACCTGTCCCTTCCCTTAAAACAAAGGCTAGCAAGCAGGGGGCCTGTAGCAGCTATAAAGTGTGTGCAACTCAGCCTGCCTGGCAAGGAAGTTATAAGGACCAGCTAATCCTTGTAAGTTTTTTTAAAAAACTGCTTTTTTCTTATGGGTTCTGTGTTTCCATTCCCAGTTTCCTCATTCTGTCTACCTTTTCATGTGTTTCAAATCAGCTGTTGAAAATGGCATCCTAGCTTTAAGAGACTTCCTTAGATTGGCAGCCCCTTCCCTGAACCATCTGTTCAGCTGACACTGCTTCACATATAGGAAAGGCTGAGAAGGAGGCAGCCACTTTGCAGGAGGGACTTGCGGACTGTTCTCCTGGGGCAGAGAGTTTTTTCCTCTTTCATGGGTGCACATACATGATACAGAGAAGGAGGACTATTCTGTGGCTGTCAGTAATGTGCACAGAGAACTACTCCCCCGCCCCCTGCTCAGTAGTAGCTTTTTGGTGATTCTCCCCTCACTGCAAGACCGCCAGCCCCCATGCTGTACCTGGCAGCCTCTCTCTCCCAGGAGCAGCATTTGGGGGAGGGAGGCATTTGAGGTAGCACTGAGTGTGAGAAAGTCATGCTCTGTATGATGGAAATCCTTCTGTCAGCCGTGACTTTTGCTGGGCTCTGAGAAATAATTTGTTTATTTTTTTAGCAATAGTTAATTAAGGGGGCCCTGGCCTGGATGGCCCAGGCTTAGCCCCATCTCAGAAGCTAAGCAGGATTGGCCCCGGTTAGTACTTGGGTGTGAGACAACCAAGGAAATCCGGGGTTGCTTTGTGGAGGCAGGCAACTGTAAACCACACCTGAACATCTCTTGCCTTGAAAATCCCCACACAGCTGCCATAAGTCAGCTGTGCCTTGATGGCAGTTTCCATGGCCAATTTAAGAGGAACCTGCTAATTTGGGTCAGATACCTTTTGCTGAAACCGAGCAGTGGTACTCTTTCTTAAAGTATTCTTTTTTTCTTGTTTTCTTTTAAGACTCCTGTGAAATTGAATGATAGAATCTGGCTCCAAATCCAAATTCCATAGAAATATGTGTAGAATATTTGAATTAATGACTATGTTTTATGTTCCTTAATATCTTTATACTGGGCTGCCAGTTAAGAATTTGGTCAAAGGGAATCTAAGTGTTGTAGCTGAATTTTATTTATATCACCAATATAGTTGGAGAAATGCAACCTATGTTCTACACCCTGCCATCTGTCAATCAGAAGGCAGTTTGGTTTTTTTCTCACATCCCCCACCCCCCTTTGGTTGTCTCTCTGTGTCTTGCATTTATCCCACCATTCCTCTAAGACTGACATGCATGTTTCTTCCCCTTCTTCATTTTGTCCTCACAACACCCCTATGAAGTAGGTAATCCTGAGAGAAAGTGAGTGGCCCAGGGTTACTCAGCAAGCTTTATGACTGAATGGGATTTGAACTTGGGTCCTTCCCAGTTCCAATCCCACAGCTGAATATAGACTGCTGCTGCGGATTTATATCCTCTTCCCAGTTCTGAACAGGACTGGTTTGGTTTAATTGCAGACGAAAGTGGAAGTTTCTTGCTTTCCTAGGGAGTCATTTTGTTCTCAATGTTCTGCTGAATGCTGGTCAAAATGTTTGCATGTCATTACAAGTGGCTGTAAAAGGAGATTGCTTTTTAAACAGAGGAAGGTCATAGCTTGAAGTGTAGGGTTTCACTTTTTCCGAGAGAGGGACTTATTTTCTTTTTGTCTGCACTTTGGTTTGAACACCTAGTTGAAATTTGCAATTTCAAAATGCAGAAATGTCGACAAAAAGTATGCAAATAGAGTTCAGCTGTACTCTTTGTTTCCCCTTCTTTCTCAAATGTTTATGTATGTCAAACACTGTTCAAAGCTTCCATATTTTGGTCTCACTGAACTTCTGGACTGGTCCAGTGATGGGCATGCTGGGTTGCTTCCACTATTAGCTCTCTGGGGTGACCTTTCTTTGTGGAGAGATACTACTCTAGACAGTGCAGGGGCTGTATTAGAACGCTGGTTTTGGGTGGGAGAAGAAACTGTTGTACCCCATCCAAGGTAAACTGGACACTGACACTGTGATCGCGTACTATCTGACCTGTAGATGACCGGTTGAAGGAAAACTCTTCTCCTGCTGCTTACCTTATTTGCCTGCTGTGTAGGTGGATGCTACTGCCTGGTGAAGGAAGAGGCTAGTTCCCGAAGCCAACCCCTTGCTTTCCTTGTGGCCCAGTGGTCTGGAGGGAGCAGTAGGACTCTTCTTTTATTTTTTCCCCTTGCAACGAAAGGAATTATTTTGTGTTCTGTGATGCTTAGCTGTAATCATGCCTTGCTTTTTAAATGTTGTGACTGTTAAGAGCAAGATAATAGCCCTATGTGCTGGTTAATTTGACAAATTGCTAACAGGTGATGTTTGTCGAGGATGAAGCCTTTGTATGTTGGCTGGAAAAGATTATGTTTAAAATTTAAAAAATTATAAAAATCAGTATAATGATATTTATGTTTTTTAAAAGGTCATGTTTGTTAAATTGTTAGCTCGTTAGTGGGGAGATAGTGGACAAAAGTGGTAGGTAGAAGGCTGTTTTTAAAAAAATCTTGATCTTGGTCTCTCTCGACAATGGAGGATTCGCCTGCATCTGAACCAGATTACCAGGAGGAGAAATTGATGTGTGGCCAGCAAGACTGCTTGTGTGGCCTGCTTTTAGAGACTTTGCCTGGAGCAAGAACCTGCTTTTAAAGATAAAGTGAGATAGTTTATTTAGCTGGGTTCTTTTAAAAGTTTTCTGTTTTGGACTCTTGAAAGTACTGATGTTCTTTTGTAAAATAAATTGTCTTTCTTTTGGAAGATTGTGGTTATTTGATGTGCATTTGGGATCTGATAAAGAAAGAGCCCACGGCACCTCTAGTGAGTTTCCCTTTCTCTGGGTTGGGAGGAGTGCATCACATGTTCACTCTTCCTACCTTTACTTAGCTCTACTGCACCATTCACATCTGACACAAATTCCTCCCACCCCTTTTGCCTCACCTGCTCTCCCCATTGTTTCTTGTCAGATTTTTGAAAGTGTTTTAATTCTAATGCATATTAATAAAGCTCAACTTTCTAAAGTCCAGTTGGTTATTCTCTTCCTTGACCTTAGTTTTGTAGGAATGTTGACCACGATCATCTAGCATTATTGAAATCTTTATATGTTTAAATTTCTCCCCCCCCCGTTTTATTTAAGTTTTATCAAAGAAATACAACCTTTACAATTGTAATTTTTCACACATAGTCTGTACGAGTCTGTTACAAAGTTTTGTTCTCTATCCATTTATAAAATTCTGCCCATCTTTCTTTAAACACCTTATCATCTTTCCCTTGCAAAATTACTGTTAATTTGTCCATTTCTGCGACTTCCATCAGTTTCTCAGCTAATTCCTTTCTCTTAGGAATCTTTTCTTGCTTCCAGTACTTAGCAATCAGGATTCTAGCCGCAGTGAGCATATATGTTAGTATATACAAGTTTTTCCCTTTATGTTCATTTGGAATTATGTTTAACAAATAAGTCTCCGGGCATAGTTTTAAACTTATATGTAGCACTTCTGTTATCAAGTTACTTACATTTTTCCAAAAACTATACATTTTTTCGCAGTTCACCACATATGTAAAAACGTCCCTACATTATTTTTACATCTCCAACAGTTTTTGTTTACAGTTTTATATGCTTTTGCCAACTTTTCAGGAGTCCAATACCATCTATGGAACATCTTAAATATGTTTTCCTTAAATGCTACTGCCCTCATTAGTTTCATAGACTTCCATACTTTTAGCCAATCTTCCAATTGTATAGTCTTTCCCAAATCCTTCATCCACTGGATCATGGCATTCTTTATATTCTCGTCATATAGGTGATCATCCAAGAGAAAATTATATGTCTTTTGAATAAGTTTGTCATTGGAAGACAACCATATTTTATCCAAATCTGTTTTGGTTTTTATGAACTCCCCGCATTTGTCTTTGTTGTACCTATCTTGCACTTGCGTTTTTTCCCACCATGTTAGGTGAATGTTTTTGTCTTTTAGTCTCTCTAATGGTCTTAATTTATTATTTTCATCCAACAGCACATCGTAGGATATAGCTTTTTCTTTTGTCATTAGTTTTGTATTTATAAATGCCTCAAGGGGGGACACCCATCTCGGAACTTTTGTATAGTATCTGTATTTCATTCCTTTCCATACCTTGATTAATGCCGCTCTAATAATGTGCTTATGAAAATTGGAATGAATTTTGTCTTTCTCGTACCACAGGTACGCGTGCCACCCCATGTACAGATCGTGACCTTCTAAATGGAGAGTTCTCCAATTTTCTAACTGTATCCAGTCCTTAATTTCTGATCATTTAAGAGTTCAGCTATTTCTGTGGAGCATTATTAAACTTCCATGGAGTGCAAACTGAAATAGTTAATATAATGTGGCATTTTACTTTTAGGTACTGGAAGTTCGAGCTGTACCATAAAGGACATCTGGATATGTGGTGATTATGTGATTTCGTTATCAAAGAGGAGGTCGCAATTCAGCGTGGGAACAAAGCAATTGGGCTTCTCGGCTTCTGTTGCATATGTGACTTGGCGAGGTATCCCTACAATGAAGTGGGATGATCTGTTACCCAATCTGCATCAGTTGTATCATCAGTGCCGTTTCCCATCTATTATAGTAATACACCTTGGGGAAAATGATCTGCGGGTCGACAGTAGCCACTCACTTGTTACCAAGATGCAAAATGATTTGGTTATCCTTCAAAAAGCATTTCAAGATGTTGTAATAATTTGGTCTTCACTGTTACCAAAAGGTGTTTGGAAACTAAGTAAGAAGGTGCAAGTTCTGGAATCTAAACGTAATGATATCAACTGCAAAATGGAAGAATTTTGTAATGAAAATGGCATGCACTATTTTTTACATCCATTGCTTACTCATCCATTGTTTATTCGTCAAAATCAGCTGTTCACAAGACAGAACACCCTGTCCAAGCAAGGAGCTGATGTTTTTATAACTGGGCTGAGGCAATTCTTGAGTACCTTTCTGAACTGTGATTAATTCTGGAATTATCCTTTCTTTACATCCTAGTCCTGTATGCATATTGGTGTATTGGGTTTTGTGGCGTTTGCAGTGGGTGGGAAAGAAATACTGAAAATATCTATTTGTTGCTGTCTGGAAGGATAGCTTTGTTTTGTTGCCTGTCCATTGGATTATACCTTGGAAGAGCACTGGCAAGTATTTTTTCATGTGTTAAATTTTATATGAAAATATATGAAGAAAAATTTTTACCATGAAGAATTGTATTTTTATTTGTGTGGGTGCTCCTTTTTTCCTTCTCTTTCTCTCTCTCTTTGCAGCTGGTGCTATATAAGGCTGTGGCTCTCTTCCAGTGAGCAGTTTGTAGGTTACAGTTCTGTTTCTGTCACACACTAGCAGAATTTTGATGTTATTGCGAGAGATCATTTGGAGAAATACGACTTCAGAAGTCACTCTTTAGCATATTCATTATAGGTGGAACATTGGCATTTTGCCATACAGCAGCCCATAGCTCTTTTGGTGTGGTTTTGCCTTTGCTTCGTGTTATTGCTTGTAGTTCCATTGTAAGCTTGCCCACTTTACTGTCTACAGGTACTAGAATAATCAAGATTAGTGCTTAGTTTTTGGGCTCCCCTCCAAAAAGCGATATGTTTAGATGATCGTAGTGTGGGTCAGTCCCATCTTATGATGATAGTACCTCTCTTGCAGCAACGACAATTGCAGGCAGCTGTGTTTGTCCAGGAGAAAAAAATCCAAGTAAGCAGCAGCAAGTAGGGACTGCTTTAGGATAAACTTATATGTGACAAAGGTGTCTTGCTCTCAAGTGCCATGGACTCTGGAGCTTTCCCTCATGCTGTATGGTGATCAAAAAAAGGAAGAGAGGAAGGAGAGAAAAGATTATTGCTGGCAAGGAAGGTAGTGTTCATGATTTGTGACGGTCTTAAAGTGGTGGAAGTTTCTCTGCTGAGTTAAGTTACTAAAGATTCATGTTGTAACAAAGCTTTTTTAGGACAAAAAGGCAATGGCCGCTCTTTAAAAAGGCTATAATTTGACATTTTTAAAAATATGCAGACAGGGTGTTGTCATGTTCTTTACCTCCGATATCTGTGCCTCTCTTTTCTTAGTTCCCTCTTTTTCTGATACTGTATTGTGATTTTCAGTTTGTCCAAAAGCTATAATGCTACTGTTGCTGTTTTCATAATGGTTGTTGCAACAGAGCAGCAAGCAATTTCATTTTGCTTGGCTTTTTCAAAATTAATGTTTTTGTTTCAGAAGAATAACTGGGTTTTACTCTTGGCAGCACACAACTGTATATGTAGTTGAGTGGAATCAGATGATGTGGATCCAGAAGTTGGGCATTACAGCACTATGAATGGCAACCCTTCCAAGGGTTAACCAAGATAAAGAGCTGGCAGCAAAATAAATGCACCTTTGTGTCAGAATAGTTACAATTATAAGAGAACAACACAACCCTATGGAGGGAAACCAACAATACTTTATGCTAAATCAGAAGTTTAGCTGAAGTAGACCAGAGGTGCAGAGGTGTACCTTGCCCAAAAGAGTTGTAGAACTTCTGCCAGATGCTTGGCTTGTGACCTTCTGAGATAATCCCCCCTCAGACAGACCAGGATGCCTAGTACCTGGGGACTGTGGAAATTCATTCTCAAATCCAGTTACATCTTATAGGGTCAACAAAATTCCCTATAAGTGAATACCAAAAGAAGGGCCATCTCCTTTAAAAGAGTAATGCTAATGTCAGAGTGATCCTCAGTAACAGCTGCTGTTCCTCCTCTCAGAACTGCATGAACAAAACATGTGAAATTTAGATTTAAAAAGAAGATCCACAACCCCTGAGTCAAGTCACTTTCTCAGCAAGGACTGCTTCCAGGACCTTGCCACAGGATCTGAGCCAAAGACACTGCTCATGCAGTGGGACCAGCAAAGCATTTCCCCCCCTCTAAGATCCCTTCTTTCCTTAGCTTTCTTCCCATTCTGTCGTCCCCTGCCTTAAGCTCTCCAGCCGCTCTCAGCCAATCACTACCTTTCTCCTTCCTGCCAATTGATCCCTGGTCCTCCCATGTTTTTGGCATTACTTTGCTCAAAAGCTTCTGTTTCCCCTGTTGCCTTCTGTTTTCCCCAATCTAATTTTTACAGCTTGTTTTCTGTCCTTTTCTCCATTCTTAAAGGTGATCTCTCACCCCCCCCCCCCAAGCTCTCTCCCTTCTTTGTTTCTCCTTTTCTTTCCTTTAGCCCAAGCTCTGTCCCTTCTCTGTTTCTCCTTTTCTATCCTTTAGGTGACTCCGTCTCTACAGACTTCCTACCAGCCTCCCCTTGTCCCATCCCCCTTCCTTGGTTACATTTCACACATCATCTTTCATAAAGCTTGTGTTTGCTGGGCTGGTTCCAACTGGGTATTTCTGCTGCTGATAAGGTGAACGGTTTAGTCGTGAATTGCAAACATTTTACCTGTCCCATGTAGTCAATAAAGCTGAATGTTTGATTTTAGACTCGCTGTGTCTTCCTTCTGAAGTATTGCATCTGAACATGCTTTTTTATATATATACACACACAGAACCCAAACAAATCATAAGTACCTGTGTGAATGTACAACGATGTGTACCCAGTTCTGTGGTGCAAGAAAAGTGTGAGTCGTGTGGAAGATAACTGTCAGTCCTGGGTTTCAGTTCGTGGTATGGCGAGGGATATACCTAGGGGGCTGGATGGCAAGTAAAATCCACGAGGGGAGGGTAGCAGGACACTCTACTGTTATTAAACCATATATTTGGATGGGAAGGGGGTAGCTTTTAAAGGATGTGTATCTCCATGGAGTAAATGTGCACAGTGGGGATTTCTTTCTCTATTATAAGGCAAAGCAGAACGGGCACAGGAAAAGGGAGAGGCTTTGGCAACAAGTGGGGCAGATTTCCAGCCCAAAATAGGTTCTCCCTCAAGAGTTGTTGTTATATCAGGAGGGGCGCAGAAATGATGAGCTCAGAGAATCAGAGGTTGCACTCATGATCAAGATCTGTTAAGAGACGAGAAATTACTCTGAGGTGGTTTGGATGGTTGCAGGCATGGTTTCCATTACGGGGCAAATGTGGGGCTTGAATTTGGTGTTGGTTGACTCCAAGGATGATTGTCCACGGAGACTTCGGCATGCGTGCTGAGGCTGCCTTATCAGGTAAAGCTCAAGATTTCATAGATGCCATGATAATTGGGGTCTTTAGCTGTTGTAGATTTTCCGGGTTGTATGGCCGTGGTCTTGGCATTGTAGGACCTGACGTTTCACCAGTAGCTGTGACTGGCATCCTCAGAAGTATAACACAGAAAGATGGAGTACTCTCTGTGTCAAGGTGAGAAGAAAAATGGTAGGCAGGTAACTTATATCTACTCAGGAAGGTGGGGTAGGGCTGAGTCATTATATTGTAGGAGT